TATTTTTAGTTTTCTGAGCTAATTATTCCTTGAAAAGGTTTCTGTCACGGGGAGAGCGCTTGTGTCAACAGAGTGGTCTAGAAAATACATCTGTTTGAAAGGAGATCGCCGTTACGTTTTGTCCTCGCTCGGGTGAAGGACTACGTTTATTGTAGAGAGAAAAATTAGGATAACGTGGTAGAGATCAATGACCACATATAAAAGATAGGCAGAGTGAATCATACACAAATCGCTGAAAATTTTTTCGAAAAAGAAGTTGATTAATTTGTTGTGTTCCGGCATAGGTAGTTTTGCCTACCTAAATGTAAATTATTTCTTTTTTTTAAGTTCTCTTTTACTCATAATTAAGAGATTACAACTGAAGGGACCATCTTAAATGATAAAAAAAGCTCTCGTCTTTCTAGTTGTTTCTATTTCTTCCTATTTCTTTTTTCTCACCAGACTTTCACGCCTATTAAGTGCGTCAATGACAAGCATTAAGAGATTGTGAAAACATTTTAGAAAAATATCATGGAGAAAACGTAACAGGAGGTTATGAAAACTGCCTCTAGCTATGCTACACCGATTTTGTTTCATGCAAGTACTTACCAAGAACGATAAATATTCCAAGTAATAGCATTTTTTTGAGAAGCTCCGTCCAGATGAAAGGACTTTTCCTTGAAATTCAGGGATCCAAGATAATCGATACAAATATCGACGACAGCAAATTTGCCTTAGCGATTATCCCTTATTCAGACTGCTTCACTTAGGGCCCTACACAGAGATGCAAGAAAATCGAGAAAGGGTAAAATTATGAAATTCAAGTCTCACTGAGCTCGGAGTGAGACGCTAAACGGTTAGATGGGATGTTTTTTTCACCTTATGCCTTGATAACTTAGCTTTTAAGCGCGTAGAGCCATTATAACTTCTCCGACGACACATTGACAGTACTACGCGCCTAAACAGGTGGATAATGGATAGAATAATTTCGGTCCATATCAGATGGCAAAAGCTTGGCAAAAGGAGGGAGTTTTGGGGGGTTTTATTTTTCTTTTTATGTTTTTTTTTCGGTTAGCATTTGCATTAGCCTCGTTTTCAGTTTCTTCAAGCAACGAAATTAAGCGTGAATTTGTCCTTGTTCCTATCGAGTACCTGCTATAGATTAAACAGAAAACAATACAAAAGCTGAACAGAAATGATACCTAATATTTAAATTCCATTATTCTGGGTTTTTCTTCTTTTTTTTTAGTTGAAAGCTGTCAGGGCACTTAGATTAATGTCCTATGTTGACAACCGCTATCGCTGTCTGATTGGTTTTTGGAAATAAGTCGTCAAACAATTGTCTGTTATGTGGATGATTATTTTTACTGCTATTGTCAGATCATGTTCTGCGGAGGCAAAATATGCAGTAAAGGAAATAATTTTCCTATTACACCTTTGAGAGGAAAATCAATTGTTTCTTTCTTTCTTTACTTTTTGCAGATTTGCTTATTTTTGTTTTTTGGTAGTTAAAAGGTGATAACAAGTCGAACATCCCATTGCATGAAGATAACATTTACTACATGAATGAAAACCGGGGTCCGATTCTTTAACATTATTATTTTTGTTGATTTTACCCGTTAGAATCCTTTGGAAGAAGGAAA